CGCTACGCCGCTCACCAACTTAGCTTGTGGTCAAACTCCCAGCGACCGCAAGTTTCGCCGACCCTCCTCTAGACAAGGTCCCCTGGAGATGTGTCTGCATTCTACGTCTGGGGCTGCCTCACTTACGTTCACGCCTTTGGCGCGGACAAGCTCACTGCCCGCACCGTCCATTGTGTCTTCCTTGGCTTCCCCCTTGACACGTCTGACTGTCACTTTTACCACCCGTTGTCTCACTGTTTCTTTCAATTGCGTGACGTCACCTTTGACATGTCTGTCTCGTTCTACACCCGCTTTCCCCACCGAGGTCTCCCGATCACCCCGCCCCTGTTCCTTGTCCCCACTCTCCCGGTAGCTCCCGCTCCCCTAGCTTCCCGTCCTGCCCCGTTCAGTGTGTCGCACGTCACTCCCCTTCCTTCGGTTGGTCCTGTGGAGGAGTCTGCTGACTGTGGGGACCCTATGGACCCCGAGCCACATGTGGCTGCGGTGCCTACGTCCTCCACCCCAGTGTCTCCTCCGTCGCCGCCACAGCAGCAGCCGCTGCCGCACCTGCCGCAGCAGCCGTCGCCGCCGCCGAAGCAGCAGCTCTGGGGGTGTTGGGGGTGTGGGCGCTGAGGAGGGTGCTCGTCCTCGGGGTATTGTCGTGGCTCGTCACGGTGGTCCTATCTTGGAGAGTCTCGGTGGTTGCCGTGGTGCAGTTAGAGGCACTGGTGTGGGTGCGGAGTAGCAGCAGCAGCAAACGCTGCTGGTTTCCGCCCATTGCCTCCTCGGTCTTCCCTCCCCCGACCGCCCGCCTGCTCCTCTCCAGTCATCGCCTCCTTTACCGGTCTACGACCCTATGTTTCCTCCGTCACACTCGTCCTCAACTCGTTTCCCCCCTCGTTCTCCTCCTGCGTTTCCTGATCCGATGCCTTTCTCCCACTTCTGATCTCGCCGTCCCTCTCGTGCTCGTCTTGTCTCTCCGGTTCAGCGCTCTCAACCTATGTTGTTCCGTTGTCATGCGTCTCGTGCTTCTCTTCTCCCGTCTCCTCCTCAGTCGTCGCTTGTTTTCTCTTCGCCTTCTCTCTCTCTGACATTCTTTGTGCGGCTAGTCCTCTTGTTCCTGGGGTCCTCGCCTCTCTTATTACCGACACGTCTGATCCTGTTTCTAGTCTAGATGCTCTTCTCGCTGCCGTCGCTGACTTTGCGTCTACCCGCCGCCTTGACTACGCCACAACTATAGTCTCTAACCCTGTCTGTCCTCCGTCCGTCGAGGCTGCACCTGCCCTTGGCACTGATGTTCTAGAGGACAGGAAGTACGAGCTAGCTTTCCTGTTCGAGGCTGCTCCTTATCTCTGCTCCATGGTGCTAGTCCCTGATGGTGACCCAGACGCTCTTGACATCTCGACCCCTTGCACCTATGCTGAGACGACCTCGGAACCCTGGGCCTCTCAATAGATACACTGGCGGAAAGTACTGCCCGGATAAAATCCAATTTTAGGTTCAACAAATGATTTGAATGCTTTCAACCGAGGTATCGTTGAATCTTCAAAGCTGACTAGTAAGTAACGAGTGCCAGTTGCATCAGGGTAACACGTTTGCAATTTGAAGGGGTCGCACCAATAGCGTGGACAAGATTTCAGTCGCGTGAGTCCATCCGGACAGTTTCGGCCAAGCAGCGGACTAGATCCGTTTTCGACTAGCGCATTCTCTCCATAGTTCCTAACGCAATCGTCGATTAGTCAGGATAGAGTTTATACCCGAGGCTTAGACTAGGCCAAGATGAGACCGATAGATGAGGCTCTTCGCGCCCGGATCATAACACTGTTGCGTAGGGGGTACAGCACGAGGCGAATCGCAAAGCAGGTTGGCATTGGGAAAAGTACAGTACATGATGTCGGACTCAAGGCGATTACAGAGACTAGTCTTGAGGACGTGCGTCCTACAATGCCCACTGCTGGTCGTCCACGCATACTTACGAATAGAATTCGTCGTGGGATCGTCAGGGCGATCACTAGCGGCGAGGCGAAAACCTCGAGGCATGCGGCCCAGATCGTCGAATCCCAACACGACATCACGGTGCATCCTAGGACGGTGCGTAATGCACTCAAATCCAGCGGCCTTATCGCAGTTCAGCAGCCTAAGAAGCCGCGACTCTCCAAGGAAAATATCCGCGACAGGCTGGAGTTCGCACGGGCCCACACGGATTGGACCATAGATGATTGGCGACGGGTGATATGGTCGGATGAGACGAGGATTAGTAGGTTCTGCTCTGACGGCCGCGCGTACGCCTGGGTTCGTGAAGGTACGACTCTCTAACACCATCAGATCAAGCAAACCGTCAAACACGGGGGCGGCGACTTGATGATCTGGGGATGTATGACGTTTGAGGGGCCGAGTTTCATGTGCAAAATCGATGGTCGGATGGACGGGCCGCTGTATCTGAGCATTTTGCAAGACGAGCTGAAGAATACCATCGACTTTTACAAGCTAACCCCCTCGGATGTGATCTTCCAGCATGATAACGACCCCAAGCATAAGTCCCGTGTGGTGCAGCAGTGGCTTCAAGAGCAGAATTATGGGGTCCTGGAGTGGTCGGCAGGAAGTCCTGATCTGAACCCCATTGAGCATCTTTGGGCTCATCTTAAAAGGGAGCTGGGTAAGCATGAGACACCTCCCACTGGTATGATGGACCTGTGGGAGCGTGTACAAGAGGATTGAGAGAATATCCCATCAGAGGTGTGCTCCAATTTGATCGACAGCATGGCCATGAGGGTGAAAGCAGTGATTAGGGCTAAAGGGCGGTGGACCAGGTACTAGTTTAAGGGTTGTTCAAGTTGCTGCTTCCGCCTGGAACTAATTGTCCACATGCACCGTGATTGGTTATGTCTGCTTTTTACTGTTAACGATAGTAGTTTCATCAAATGTGAAGCATTTTTTTGTGTCCCTAGATTGGCCTGCATATAGTGGGTAATGCCTCCAATTAAGGCTTAATGTACAAATGCCCTTTAACGATGGAAATTCGGAAAATTGCAAAACATGTGGACAATTCTTTCCGCCAGTGTATGTTCAATTCCACGCTACTCTAAAATTTCATTTATATTACTGTGCATGAGGAAAAAACTGGGTGTATATTACCTCATCTCACAGAACTACGATCAACCATACCTCACTGAACCAGGCCTCTCACTAACAGGGTAATTACTCTGAATGTCAAGAAATTAAGAGTGAATTTTCGAGCGATTTCGTTATTTTTACGGTGTGATTTGTTTCCGAACCTGTCTTATTTACTGAAACAATTTCGTTTGATTCCTTATCCTAACGAGTTTATATATATATATATATATATATTTTTAACAAAAAAATCCGTACGGGCTATACTTATAGCAGGGCAATCTGTAAGGGAGTGCGACCCCCCCCACCCCCCCACCCTACCCGACCGAAGCCACATACTAAGGGCGTGTCCCGAAAAATCGTCAACCCGTTTTGGACACGTAGAGCCGTCTGATGGTACGCAATGTGAATCAATTTTCAAGCTGATCCCGTTTTGGGAACAGGCCCAACATGAAGGGTACAGCTCGGAAGGATAGCACCGAGACTAGCACAGACATGGTGGCGGGTAACGGGGTCCCGCCATGCGGAACTAGCGCAACATGCGCGTGTAACAAAAGGAGGGCCAATCGGCGCATCAGGGACGGCGCTGATTCCACTGTCGCAATACTGGTACTACCAGCTTTCGCTCTCGCGGCATGTCGCGGGAGTAAATTTGGTCTGGTTTGTCTTGCACTATGTGGGTGTGTTGGATTTGGCAGGGAAAGTTGTTCGCTAGCGACGTGCGAGGCCGCAAAGTTTCGCACGGCAATTTCGCTGGAGGTGGTGTTGATATTGGATGGCGAATTGGATTTTTGTGCGGTCTTTTTTTGTCGTGCGGCGGTACCCGGAAACGTGTGCTTGTGTCCGCCAATTTTGTTTAATGGTTACATGCTTAAAAGTGGTAACTGAACTAGGTGCTGAACAGAGCACGTACTTTAATGACACGCCCTAACCCTCTCAGCGTTTGAGCCACACATACACATAAATGCCATTTTAGCGAGGCGTGCACCGAAGCCACACATACACATAAATGCCATTTTAGCGAGGCCTGCACCGAAGCCACACACTACACTAGCCCTGTCAGCATTTGAGTGGGACAGCGCCGCGTCAAGCAGTCTGTCCGTTTGCAGGACTACGCTGGCGAGGGCCTTTCACAATGGCTGCTTCAACCTGCGCTCGTACTGTACACCAAGAGTCGGAAAATGGCATTTATGTAAAGTACAAGGCGCGGAAGCGATACATGTCCATGTGTAAATGTTTCCCGAATTTGTGCCCTTTTTAGGGCAGGCCATTCCAAGAATTGACCACATGTGGTCCTCGCTCGCTGTGATGACACTGTTGTTCGGTGGTCGTTTTGCCTGCACTGCTCTCTTGACCTCATAAGGTGGCCAAAGTAGAGTGTTGACGCCAACCAGCTTAGCTGACGTCAACTCGCCCCCAAAACTGCTCGTCGAAGAGGGACGTCAAAAACCACCCGCGTAACCCTACTTTGACCATGTTCACAAATGCGAACTCTGCCAAAACAGATGCGCGTGAAAACATTCTGCAAGGGCAAGGCAGGGAGCAAAAACCACAAGCATACAAAATGTTACCACATCAACAGGACGATCTGCTGCTGAATCGAGGGGGGCGGGTGGCTCGCGCCTGCAATTATTTCCTTCGCGAGAAATCCCGGATTTTCGCAACTTCGTATCTGGTGTCTTGATGGGCCCGTTGGTGTTTTGTTGACAGTTTTTTTACTGCCCGATCGGTTGTTGAAAAATCCTTGTTTGACGTCAATCGTGATTACAGGATTTCGGCAGCCCTACTTTGGCCATACCGGAAATCGTCACTGTAGCGTTTACAGTGGTGGTAACCCGCTTTGGAAGTCCGTGACGTCCCACCAAGGCTGCCACCCTCTCAGCAGCACGCCCACAGAACCCATTGCAGTCCTAGATGAAGCACACCGGACCAGACGGAGTTGCTCGAGACTGTTTCTACTCGAGCTTTGCTGGACTGCTTTAGGGCGCGAGTGACACTCTAGCTGGGTTCTTACTGGCGGCCGCATGGTGGCGACCGCGTTGCCGTGTTGTGCAATACGCGTGTACGTGGAGTGACCAAGTGCCTGGGGTGAAGGTGCGGCGCCGTGCATGGAGGCGTCGGAGGGCTTGTGCCGGCAGCAGATGGGCGACGGCAGCGACGTGCGTCCCCGCGAGGCAGCCTGCGGTTGCCTGCCTATGGGCGCCGACGTTGCGGCGGGGTATGCGCGTCTGGACGCGCGGAGCCTTGCGGCGACCAATGGAACCCAGTCACCCTCTCTGGGCGGAGAGGTCCACAGTAGCGCGGGCAGCGGGCCGCAGCAAGGCGAGGCGGGTTTGAGGGAGGGAGAATGCAGACCATGTAGCGGATCCAGCAGCGCGCGACAGGCAGGGTCGGAGGGCACCGAGCGGAACGGGTTTTGGCGGAAGCGCATAGTGCGCATGATGCGCGGAGCCACTGAGGAGGGCGGCATAGCAGCGGGTAAGGGTGCAATTGGGGCGGAGAGCGCGGGTGATTCGGCACGTACATGGGGGCGGGAGGGGAGTTCGTGGGACGTGGAGGCAGGTAGGGGCGCAGCAGGCGGCGAGGCACGGGCGCGCAGCAGCGTCTTCCCATACGACTGGGTCGTTGCGCCAAGGGCCCCTGCCCGCCTGTTGCTGCAGCACCGCGACCGCACCCCGCCGGCGCTCAATCCACGGCCCGCCACGCCCACGTCCTCCGCGTCGTCCGCGTCGACCTCTTCCCCCGCCTGGCCTTCCGCCCGCCCGTCTGCGCCCGCCGCCGCGCTGCCGCCCTGTCAGCAGCCGGGCGCGGTGATGACGTCAGCGTGGTACGAGGTGGTGGCGGATGAGATGGAGGAGGAGGAGGCGGAGGAGGAGGAGGAGCGCATGAGCGACGGCGACTGCACGGACGACGGGCTCGACGCCACCCACCGCACCCACCCGCTCTGCTGCTGCTGCTGGCCTCTCCTCCCCCCCTCCCCCGCTCCCCTTCCCCCCGCCTCCTCCCGCCGCTCCTCGCGCTCCTCTCAGGCCGCTGGGCTTAGCGCGCAGCCGGGGGGGAACGGCGCGCTGAGCGAGGGCGGAGGGCACGTGACGGACGACTTGGAGCGGCGGAGGCAGGGAGCGGGGATGGGGGAGGGCGAGGCGCGGAAGGGAGAGGCAAGGCGGGGGGCGGTGGCGTGGGTGCGCGGCATGGACTGGGAGTCGCGGCGGTGCCAGCTGTCCATCTTCGCCGCCGTCATGCTGGCGGGGCTGGCGGCGGCCGCCGTGGTGTTCTGGGCCACGTACAGGAGCTACCAGCAGAACAGCATGGTGCGCCCTGCACCGCGCACGCACTGCCAGCACGCACTAGACACCAGGCACAAGGGAGACACTAGGATTGTGGGGTGCAGGGCGCGTTGATGTGTGCGGGAGGGTGGGTAGGGTGCGGCAGGGCGTGGTGGCTGCCATTGGTGCCAAGCTGTCGTGATACCCCTCTCATTCCGTCTCCTCTCGCCCCTCCCACCTTCCGCCCTGTGTGTGGTGTGCTGTGCTGTGCCCCCAGAGCGTGCTGACCACTCTGTGCGACACCTGGGCCGCGCTGCTGAACGAGCGACTCGACGACTCTGCCAAGCAGGTACAGCCCCGCGCGCCCCCTCGGCTTCGTACGCCATGCATGGCGCCCTGCGCCCCTGCCTCACCAACTGTGCGTGCTGCCTCCCTGCCCCCCTCAGGCTCGCCTGCTGTCGGCGCTGCTCTCCATCCTCTACTTCCGCTCCAACCCACCCCTGCTCAATCAGGTGCCCCACTCATCACCCACCCCCCCCCTACCCTCCACATGCTCCTCTTCCGTCTTCACTCTTCCCGTCCTCCCCATTGCCTGCGCCTGTCTCGCCCCAAGTGCTCTGATTGCGCGTTGCTCCCTCTCCCCCCCCCCGTGCGGCAGAGCATGTTTTCGGACTTCATGCGTGAGTCCCGCCTGTCGCTGCACCTCTTCCACAACGTCGCCTTCGCCCTGCGCCTCTCACCCGCCCTCCGCCCCGCCTGGGAGGCCGCCAACAATGCCACCACGCCCTGCATCATGTCAGCCATGCTCTCTGCCCGCACGCGCCCATGCATGCATGCATGCGTGCATGTGTCTGTGTGTGTGCGCGCACCCATGCGAATCTTTGCATGCTTTACAGCTTGCTGCTTTTGCCTCTTTCCTCACTGCCGCCCCCCCACCCCTGTCCCCTCTCGCCCATCTTCTCCCCATCCACCTTCTCACCAGCCGTGCATGCATGCCATGCCACCAATCACGCGCTTCTCTCGTGAGCTTGTCCTTCTGCCCACGCCACTCTTCCTCCCCCCACTATGCTTTGTGCGGGCAGTAGAAGAGGGTGCAGCACACCAAAGGGCACATCAAATCTCTCTTCCTCCCCCTCTTTCCCTCTCTTCACCTCTCTCTCTTACTCCCTTCTCCCCCAACTCCCCTTGCTCTTCCCCCCGCCACCCCTCACTCTCCCTGGACTGGATGGATGACCGTGTGAGTGCAGGGATGAGAGCAGGCGGTGTGCAGGGGAGCGCCGGGAGTACGCGCCCATAGTGTTTGAGGAGCTGTCCCATGCGCCGCACCGCGGCCTCGACCTCTACCACCGTAATCGCCACATGCACCATGCGCTCCCCTCCACTTACCTCTCATCCCATCCCTGCTCTCTTCCGCCCTTCTCAGTTTGAGACTCGAATTTGTTGTTCCCTCTCTCAACTCATCTCCTCCCGTCCGCCCTCTCCAGTGGGCGAGCTCAACGCCACGGTGTGGCGAGCGCGGCAGCAGCTGAGTGCGGTGGTGTCGCCCATCCTGGCGGCCTCCCACGCCCCCACGGCCGCGCAATTCTCCCCCGCCGCTGCATCCGATGCGCACGTGTTCAAGGTGCTGCCTGTCTTCCGCTCCGCCCGCGCGTACCTGCCTGCCGCCGGGGACACGGGCGAGGAGGAAGCGGGCAGTGGCGCAATGGACTCGGGCGTGGGGGAGGGCGAGGTGGCGGGGTTCGTGGTGGCGGAGATGGACGTGGACGGGCTGTGGCATGACATCATCAAGGTGGGGGGGGGAATAGGGGGGCAGGGGGAGGACAAGGGCCAGAGAAGACAGTAGCGTCGTTGGTGGACCTTGACCTTGCCCTGAGTGCACAAGTCAGCCAGTTCACCTTGTGCTGCTCTGCTCCCTGGCTTCCTCCGTGTGCTGCTTTGCGGCCCGCCTTGCCTCGTGCGTGTGTGCCATGTGAGTGCAGGCAGCATCCCCCTCGGCGGACATGGTGCTGCAGATAGTGGACGTCACGGACGGCAGCACGCCGCACCTCGTGCTGGACGCCTCGCGCCAGGCCTACAGCGCGGCGGACCAGCTGGCGCAGGGGCCGTTTGCGCGCGTGAATAGCATTGACTTCGGGGACCACATGAGGCAGTACGAGCTCAGATGCAGGTCAGCCCACCCCCGCACCTCCCTCCTTATCCCTCCCCACCTCGTCCGCCATTATTCTATTTCAGCCGCCCTCTCTCTCTTGCTCTCGTCGCTCTGGTCAACCTTCCCCCCTGCGCCACGTCCATCGCCCCCATGCCCCTCTCCCCCCCCTTCCTGCAAGCAGATACGAGAACATGGCGGTGCCGGTGCTGCCGGTGGTGTGGATGGTGCTGGTGCTGGTGGTGGTGGCGGGTGCGGCGTACCTGCTGTGCTTGGCGCAGAAGCACCTGAGTGTGGCGCGGCGCAACCTGCGGCGCATGGGGCTGCTAAAGGACCGCATGAAGCGCGCCAAGGTGCTGGCGGAGATGGGCAACCGCGCCAAGGGCACCTTCCTCGCCACCATGAGCCACGAGCTGCGCACGCCCCTCAACGGCGTCATCGGTGCGCCACACCCCCACGCCCGCGCGCCCACACCCCGCCCTCACCTCCTCTGTCTCCACCTCCCCTGCTTTGCCCACTTCCCTGTTCCTTGTGCATCGCTCGCTCTGGCGGCGCTCAGGCAGCCATGCACGCACGGTTGAGGCACGGGCAGCAGCATGGCATCACATAGCACGGATGCATGTACATGGCATCACATAGCACGGATGCATGTACATGGCATCACATAGCACGGATGCATGTACATGGCATCACGTAGCACGGATGCATGTACATGGCATCACACAGCACGGATGCATGTACATGGCATCACGTAGCACGGATGCATGTACATGGCATCACATAGCACGGATGCATGTACATGGCATCACGTAGCACGGATGCATGTACATGGCATCACATAGCACGGATGCATGTACATGGCATCACATGGTTAGGGCGCATGCGCATGTGTTCATCCAGCATCCCACTCCGTGCCCTGAGCTCTGCCCTTGGGCGTGTCTCTGCATCACGTTGTACTGTGTCTAAACATCTCCCACCCCTCTCTCCTCCCCCCCCTTCCCCCCCTCGCTCGCTCGTTGTGTGTGGGCGGCGGTGTGAGTGTGGGGGCAGGCATGATGAATCTGCTGCTGGAGACGCCGCTGAGCGCCACGCAGCTGGACTACGTGGACACGGCGCGCACCAGCGGCAGGGCGCTCGTGGACCTCATCAACGACATCCTCGACCTCTCCAAGATCGAGGCAAGCACACCAACCCCTGCTATGCCACATCTGCCACCACTCGCCTCACCATCCACTCCTTGCGCCCTACTCCTCACCCTCGCCCCCTTCTTTTGTCCCTGCTCGCCCTGGCCCCCCTGCACCACCCCTGCACCCCGCTGCGCTGTGTGGTGTGGCGTGGGTGGCAGGCGAAGCGCATGGTGCTGGAGAGTGCGTCATTGGACGTGCGCAGCGACGTGGTGGACGACGTGCTGAGCATGTTTGTGGACCGCATCCGCGCCAACCCGCGCGTGGAGGTCGCCGCGTACGTGGACCCCGCCGTGCCCGCACTCATCTTCGGGGACTCGCTGCGCCTGCGCCAGGTGACGGGGGAGCGCCAAGGGGCGGGGGGGTGGTGGTGGGGGAGTGGGTGGGTGGGTGAGCGGCTAGGAAGGGACAGGGAATGGGTGGAGAGGGGCCATGGCGGTGTTTGGAGGTGGGTGTGCGGCGCGCACAAGTGGACGTGCTCCCTGCCGTCTCATGCTCTGTGCAACGTGCCTCACTGGTTTCCTTGCGTTGCGCCGAGCGGTGCTTGACCCCGCCCGCAGGTGCTGATGAACCTGCTGTCCAACAGCTGCAAGTACACGGCGCGCGGCCACATCTTCATCTGTGTGCGCGCCGTGCGCTCCGACGAGGACCTGCGCCGCGTGCTGCTGCTGCGCGCCCTCACCACCCCCCACGCCCCCCCGCATCATGCCTCTGCTGCCGCTGGCCCCCATGACGCCTCCGCCTGGCGCGTTGTCTCCCCCTCCGCCCTCACACGCCCCCCGTTCTCAGGGCCAGGGGCGAGGGGGGGCAGGCTGCTGCGTGCGTATGTTGGTTCGGGGCCGCTGGGGGCGGTGGGTGGGGTGGTGGGGGAGGGGGGTGACGGGGAGGAGGGCACGGAGAGTGGTGGGTGGGCAAGTGGCAGGGATGGGGACAGTGAATCGGTGTGTGGGGAGGATGGAAGGCAGAGCAGGGAGCGGGAGCGAGAGAGGAGGGGGTTTGAGACGCTGAGTGGGTATGAGGCAGTGGAGAGCTGCAACAGCTGGGCGCACGTGCGCATGAAGCAACAAGCCATGGCCGCCGCCGCTGCTGCTGCTGCGGCACAGGGGGCACGTGGGGGGGGGGAAGCAGGGCAGGGCGTGGCAGCGTCATCAGGCATGGTGCGCTTGGTGGTGTCCGTAGAGGTACGCGCGCCCCCAACATGGTCAAACTGCCCCGCCATGCCATGCCATGCCATGCCATGCCCCCCACTGCGTGCCCTACGTAGTGTTGCTGAACTAGTCTACACATGCTGCCCTTTATGCTGTGGCGCCCTGTGTCCTCACTGCATGTTTGCCCCCCTCGCATGGCAGGACACGGGAGAGGGCATTCCTCTGAGTGCGCAGACGAGCGTCTTCAAGCGCTTTGTGCAGGCGGACGCCAGCAGCACGCGCACGCACGGCGGCACGGGCATCGGGCTCACCATATCGCGGCACCTGGTGCACCTCATGGGCGGCAAGCTCAGCTTTGTGAGCCGCCCGGGCGTGGGCACCACCTTCTACTTCGACTTCACCGTGCCCTTCCAGGCTCCCAAGACACCCGCCCCGCCCGCTGCTGCTGCTGCTGTGGATGGCAGGGCAGCACGAGCGGCATCCAGCATCGACTCGTGTGACTGTGCGTTCACTGCCCCCCCGCTCTCCCCTGCCACACATCAGCACCACGACGCACCGTACCATGGTGCCGCTGCTGCTTCACTTGGCATCAACTGCTCCTCCTCGCCCTCCCTCTCCCTTCCGCCTCTCCAACTCATGCCGCCATCAGCGGCAGCCTGCATGCCCGCCTCACGGCCTGTGGGCGAGGCAGTCCCCTCACCAGCAAGGGCAGCGGCGGCAGCACCTGTCCCTGCGCTGCATGTGTGGCCGTGCCCGGCGGCGCTCACAGGCCCGTACGTGGGCGTGGCAGCCGTGGTTCTGGACGACTGGCCTGTGCGCCGCGCCGTCATGCTTACATGCCTCGCCCGCCTGGGGGTCACTGTGCTGGAGGCTGATGCGCACGCCCACGCCCATGCGCCTGCCCACGGGCATGCGTGCATGTGCCATGGGTGCCAGCATGCAGCTGGTGATGATGGCGAAGGAGCGGGTCATGGCAGTGCGCCAGCTGCTTCTGCTGCCGTGCAGGGGGGGGTGCAGGGCAGCATGGCAGCCGCAGCAGGCAGTGTGGGCGGCCCTACGGAAGGTGCGTGTGGGGGCAGAGCGGGTGTGGGTGGGGTGTCATGGGAGGCGGTGTGGGCGCCGCGGGGCATGGTGGTGGTGGTGGAGCACGACTGGGTGGCGGATAGGGGCGGGCTGGGCAGGGAGTGGCGCCACAAGGTGGAGGCAGCGGCGGGTTGGGTGGTGCAGCAGTACCGCCGCGCGCATGCACGTGCTGCTGCCATGCCTGCCGGGGGGGGCGCCACTAACAGCAATGTGGCGGCGGGGGGTGAGCGCGGGCGGGCGTTTGGGCTACCTGACGGGTGGCGTGTGATGGTGGTGCTGCGCGATGCAAGGGAGGCGGCGGGGCTGAAGCAGCGCCATGGCGTGGGCGCCACGCTCATCAAGCCCATCCGCCACTCCGCCCTCGCTGGGTGCCTGGGGGAGGCACTGGGGGCGGTGGGCGCACATGCCTCGCATGCCCTGCCCGGCCCCCATGCTGCGGCTACTGACGCTCCTGCATTCCTGCCACTCAGACAGACCCAAGGCACTGATGCCCGGCTGCAAGGGGAGAAGGAGGGAGAGGTGGGGGATGAGAGCGAGGTTGGGGAGGAGGCCCATCTTCTTCCGTCCATTGGGTCCGTTGGTTCGTCTCCAACTGTACCGGTGTGCGCCACCACACCCGCGCCAGCCACAGGCCTGCAGCAGCGCAGCAGCAGCACGAGTGCTCTGGCGGCCATGCGCTATGCAGGCAGGGGCGCACACAGGGGGGGATCGCGCGGAGAGGGGCAGCGAGGTGTGGGGGAACGCGGGGGTGGGGGGAGCAGGGAGGGTGCCAGGCTAGCAGAACAGGTGGCGGAGGCTGCGAGAATAGAGCGCGTTGCGGCACTGTCACCAGGAAACCGGGGCTTGGGACGGGGGGCAGCAGCAGGAGTGGTGGAAGGAGGAGCAGGGCTGGGGCGTGGAGCTGGCATGGGTGGTGGGAGGAGCAAGAGTGCGGCTGCTGTGAGGCTGTGCAATGCTCTGGGAGGCTTGAAATTCCTTGTGGTAGGTGCCGCATGCGCCCTTCATCTGCTGTGCTGCTGCTTAGTCTCCCTGTCTTCCCTGCCGTGCGCACTCATGTCTGTTCCGTCTGTGAATTGCCCTGCTTACAGTATGATCCTTTGATTGTTGTGTGCTGGCTACACGTGTGGGTGTGCGTGCATGGGGGGCCGGGCGGGGCAGGTGGACGACAACATGGTGAACCGCAAGGTGATCAGCAAGATGCTGCAGCGCTACGAGGTGCACGTGGAGGCAGTGGAGGGGGGCGCACAGGCGCTGCAGCGACTGCAGCAGCCACATGAGTTCGTGGGGGTCTTCATGGACGTGCAGGTGGGGACACATGCTGCACCTGCATGCCACATCACACATCACACATCACACGTTCATGCTCAGGTGTGCTTGTGGTTCCTGCTGTCACCACGTCTGCACTTCCAACGGTCCTTTCTGCTTTCTACCCATGCGTCTGCATCCCCCTCCATGCGTGCCCCCCTCCTCCCCTTGTGTGTGTGTGTGGCACGGCAGATGCCTGGCATGAACGGCTTCCAGGCCACCCGGGCCATCCGCCAAATGGAGGCGGCGCAAGTACCTGCCACCACTGCTGCCCATGCACCTCTGCCTGCTGCTGCCACTGCACACCACTGCCAGCCGCTCCCGCCTGCCACCGCACCTGGGCATGCTCACCCACAACTTCAAGACGCGTCCCCTTCAGCAGCAGCAGCAGCAGCAGGCACGCCAGAGGCAATCACTGCACCCCCGCTCTCCTCCCCACGCCCTCCTGCTGTGTCTCCCTGCGCCTCCCCCCGGCCTGCACCGCCCAAGCGCCTGCTGGTGTTTGCGCTGACGGCGGACATTGGCGGTGGCACGCGCGAGCGGTGTGCGGTGGTGGGCATGGACGGGTACATGACCAAGCCCATCGAGGAGGATCAGCTCTCCAACGTCGTCCTGCCCTTCTTCCAACCAACCCCCACTGCCCCACACACACTGCTGCCCCTTGCTGCTGGGGCCACTGCTGCTGCTCCCTGATGCGCCAGTGCGGCTCTTGTCTGATGTGGAAAACCAACACAAGGGTTCTGGTCTGGAAGAACCCATGCACGGTGTGCTGTGCTGCACAGCCTGCCATGATGATGTCTGGAAAGATCACCATGGCTGAACGCCATGGAACAGCTGCCAGCCACCCGCCTGTGGATAGGAATACAGATTAGGTGTCTGGAGAACACGTACTGCAGGTACAGCAAAGACTCCATTGATGCTGTAGGGGCATGTTTCTACACTTTATATGCAAGTTTGTTCTGTGCAAATCCAGCATGGTACATGTGTCAGAACTCAGCCACTAACCACTGAGTTAAAAGGGCTTGTTAATAGCGGGTCAGTGCGCCCATAGCCCCCCAGGCTCTACACCTGTGGCCCTTCCCCAAGAATCTTCTCAAGGGTAATCCCAGCGGGTTTCTAGACACCCCCCCTTGCTGGGATAGACGGAGGACATGAGCGCTTCTGCAGCGCTAGCACTGGGAGTTGAACCCAAGTCACCAACGCTCTGCTAGCACGACAGAACTCAGCCACTAACCACTGAGTTAAAAGGGTTTGTGGTTGAATATAGTGTGCCTGCTGGGGTGCAGGGCTTCCCTGACGACAGTGTGAGACGCAAGTGCCAGCATGGCTGTGCTGCGCAAGCGCTCCTCCAGCCGCACCACCACAGGCTTCCACACACCGCGCTTGGCGCTCAGCACCGTTGCAAAAGCAGACAGGCCCAAGAATGTGACGATGCTGTTGCTGAATACACATGCAATGGGTGCTCCTGTGGCAGTGGATGCCGCTGCCAGGCGCGATCGAATGAGCCTTGCATAGTACCTGTGGGGAGCAGGGTGAGGGAGGGGAGGGAAGAGGGGAGTCCGTGATAAGAGGCGGGAGGGCAGAAAAGGAGGGAGGATATGACATGCGGCAGAAACATGCCAAGTGCGGTTGAACAGAAAGCTGGAAAGACGTCATAGAGTGTGCTGACTGAGGACTTGACATGCAGCGGGCTGGAAACAACTTGCCTTGAAGAGAAAAAAAGAACAACAATATGCATAGACGATTTGAGGCAGCATACCTTATAGCGGAGAGAATAGCATGGGTGAAGAACCGGGCCTGAGCATGGCACGCGCACTGAGCCCTTGCAGCAATGGAGGAACCTCTTCTCGTCCCCCCTCGCTCTCCCTTGGCCTTCCTTTGCCGCCACAGCTTCTCCTCCCCTGCCCTGCTCTGCCCCACACTGTGCCTCCTTCCAGCGCCACCAGCCGTGCATGGGCGGCAGTGCCTGCGTGCAGTGCAGGCGGCGGCGGGTGTGAGGCGTGTGGCGCGGCAGTAGGCGGTGAGCTTGATGGCGGCGAGGCGCAGCGCCTGGTAGGCGTTGACCAGCAGCGTGGCGGGCGAGTTGAGGGCGGGGTCCAGCAGCAGCGCGCAGCACTTGGGGCGCAGGAACTGCCGCAGCTTCGTCGGCAGGGCCAAGCTGGGGGGCACGGAGAAGTTGACCGTTACTGATGTCGCCATGTCCACGTGCCAGTACCTGGGGGGGGGGACAACATTGCAGGAAAGTGAAACAGTGATAAAAAAACGATGTGCAAGAGAGAAGCAGGGAGGTGGTGGCGGAAGGCCCACAAGGAGGTGGGGCTACAGGAAAGTGGTGCACAAGGAAACAAGGAGATGCTATTGGCATCTCTGTTGTGTGGTGAGGTGGCACAGTGGCGGCGGTGTGAGCACCTGGTGTAGTCCGCCTGCACCTCCAGTGTGCTGCAGTTCACCAGCAGCCCGGCCCACCGCACGAACCGCCGCTTCTGCTGCACCGCACCACCCCCTGGTGATGCCGCCACGCCCCTGCTGCTGCCACCACCCTCACGTGCTTGCCCCATTGCCTCACCAAGCATGCAGCCACCCATGGTGCCACTGCCACCTGGCACCGTAGCACAAGGATCATTGTCCCTCATGTCCCCCCCACGCCCAACCTCCTCCTCATACACCCTCTCCTGATATGTCAGCTTGCTGCTCTGCCATTTCTCCTCCCCTCCTTCCTCTCCCTCTCTTCCCTTCTCTCCCGCCTCTTGGACCCTCATCGCCCTTACTCCCTCGGTCTCTGTTCCATCCCTCTGCGCTTGACTCTGATGCTTTCTATCCCTATTTGACCCTACTTGCCACTTCCTCTGAGCGCTCCAAGCACCTCCCTCTCTCGTGCTGCCAGTGTCCGCTGTCGTCCCACCAACCCACCAACCACCGGCCTCTCGCTTTCTTTTCCCCAGCACCAGTGGGAAGCTGACAGTTGTCTTGCTTTGGTTGGCATGGCACCCGTACTCTTTGAATCCCCCGTGCATGGCTGCCACGTACGCAGCGACGCGGGCCTGGGATGTGGAGATGAAGAGCGAGTCGTCGATGAGGCGCAGCAGGAGCGAGTGTGCAGGGCCAGATGGGGAAGGGGACTCATCGGGCACGCAGGGGCTGTTCTTCCCACCATGCTCGCCACACTGCTGTACGGGGGTGCACTCTCCTTCGTGATGCATGTGCTCAGCATCTCTCCCCCAACCCATACCTTCCTTCTCGTTTGCTCCCTCCCTCGCCTCTGTCACCCACGCCTCTTCCCCATCCCCCCCAAGTTCCTCCTCTCCTCCATTGTGCCTGTCGCCCCTCCGTCCACCATCGTCCCGTGGCGCCAGGCAGCCGAGAGCGAGCGAGGGGAAGAGCACATGGCGGTCCAGGTGCGCGTAGAACAGCGAGCACAGAAGAGCAGACACCACAGAGCCCTGGGGGATCCCCGTCTTCTGCACAAAAAACTGCCGTCCGGCCCTGATGACGTGGCAGCTGATGTGGCGCCAAAGCAGTTGCAGAATGTCTTTGCGATGGCACAGGGAAGTGAGAGCCTGGCGTGGCGAGAGGGAAGGGGGGAATGTGATGAGGAGCTGGAATAAGTTTGCAGGTAATGGAGTGAGAGAGACCGAGGGAGGGAGCACCGTGACAAGAGCCCTCTTACACTCCCTCTCCACAACCAACATCCCACCGTGCCCGCTCTTGTCCCTCTCGTGCACCCTCCCTTCAACTCTCCCTGTACCCACCCGCCTAGACCGTCTGGAGCCCCAACTCCCTCTGGCAGCATGGGCAGCGGCACCCCACCCACCTTGTCCTCCACAATGCACGCCCCTGACTGGCCGGCCTGCACCATGCACCATGGCACACATGCCTGCAGTAGCTGCTGCCACTGCTCAACTGCCACGTTCCCTCGGGCGCGCTCTGCCACTGCCACATTGGTGTCTTCACCAAGTATCGCATTTCCATGCGATGCTGCCTTGCTCGCCGCTGCACCTGCCCCCATTGCGCTCGCAGCACCTGTTGCTCCCTCAGCTTCGGATGACTCTGCTGCAAGAGAACCAGGCATGCCGCCCATGGCAGCAGCAGACGGACATGCAGGTGGCATGGGCATGGGCATGGGCATGGCAGCTCTGTTGGACTTGGGGGCAATGAAGCCACTGGCCCGTGGAGAGATGGCGGCGAAGCGGCGCACGATGAACGCCGGCGACTCAAAAAACTCCTGCTCACACGATGGAAAAAGTAGGGGGGAGGGTTTGGGGAAGTTGGAAGGGGCACGCATTGGGCTTGGAGTGAACTCGGAATGTGAGCAAACGACATGATGCATCAGTCTTTGTCAGATCTCACCAGCTCACCCCACCTGCACCAGTTGTCACCTGCATGACGTCCAAAAGCTTGCCCTGCGGAATCGAGTCATATGCTTGTGCCACATCACACACTGCCATGTATACAGGGGGCACACGTGTCACTCTCTCATAAGCCCATTCACACTGCTGCTGACTGAGCAGCTGCAGTTGCTTCTCCTCCCACGGCTGCTCTCGCCCCTCTCCCTGTGGCTGCCCCCCAATACGGCAAGCAGTGTTGTCCTCCGTGTGGCACGGCACGGCAGGCGAGCGCCCTCTCAAGCCGAGCACATAGTCGCGGTACTTGCCGTACGCATCACTGTACCCAAACACAGACGCTCCCAGCCGGCCCTCCTCCCTCTTCCCAACTCGTCTTCGCACCCCACATCCCGGATTGCCATCCGCACTCCCCCCTCCTTTCACCTCTACTTTGTCATCCTCTTGATTTCTGCTCCTTCCCTTACCCTCCTCTCCCTTACTCTCCATGGCCTGAATGCTCTTACCCAACCCCACACTCCCCACAGCACCATCCCCCCCACCCCTGCACCCACTGTCCTTGCTCCTCTGTCTGCGCCCCTCGTCCCGCCCATCATCACAGCCGTGGCATGCCGTGCCGTCCGTACCACACCCATCACGTGTGTTACCACCACGACCACCGCCACTGCCCGCCTCGCACGCCCTGCCATCAGCGCCATCAGGCGCCACGCCACCATTGTGGCATGCATCACGTGCAGGCGTGCCATTCCCCCCTGCGCCACCCCACCCTCTCGCGCACTCTGCCTGCAGGCAGCGGTGAATGCTCCTCAGAGCCCCGTTGATGGGCCCAAACCGCACCACCTGCCGCCTCCTCTTCTGCTGCACCTGCCTGCACCTCCCTGGCTTCCCTGGCTTCCCTGGCTTCCGAACCTGCCAAGGCTGGGTGGGCGTGGCTTGGTGGGAAAAAACAATGGGAGTGCGGGTGTTAGGAGGTGGAGAGGATGCAGGAGAGGAGATGTGAGGAGGGGAAGGAGGAGGGCAGTGAGGCGGTGGATCCAGCGGAGGAAGGACAGGAGGGAGGCACATGGCGGCAGCAGTTTCTGGCGTTTCACCAGCAGCAGCAGGTGCAAACGGACCTCTAGGCATGGCAACAGCGAGTACAGCAGGAAGCGCCCAGGGTTTTCTTCGTTTGAAGCAATAAGGCCGTGTGCGGGCAGCTCCTGACACAGCTGGCAGCTGCTGAGGCAGCAATGGGGCGTGGCCCGCGGAGCCGCGTGCTTGTCCACGTGGCTCCAAGTCTTCCCCCACACTCGCACGCCCCACGTGCCCCTCTGGACGCGCTTCATCAGCGGCTAGTGGGGCGCCTCCCTGCTGTTGACGCCCCCTCCGCACCCACCCACCACGGGCTTTGAGCTCCGCAAAAGCAGAGCCGAAAAGTCTGTTCTCTTGCCGAACAGCTCGCAATACGGATTCAAAGAAACCCCCTGATTCCGCTGCTGCCTCAGCGTGTGCTCCTGCAGAAGCGCAGACCTGTGGTGGACCCATCCCCACTGCCCCTGCACGTGTGCACGCCTCTGCCCCAGACAGCATGGCCACGCTGGCTTGGCGCGGGGCAAGCGCGTGACACGCTGCCCGCAGGAGGTGGTTGCGCATGCGCAGAGCGTCAAGGAAGATCCCCGGGATCCCACGCACCCTCACAGGTACCTCCCACACAAGGCCTGCAAACGGCATGCAAAGGCTGTGCTGCCTGTGCTGGTGTGGCTGCCAAGGGGCTGTGAGAGCGGCTTTCCTGGTTGCATGGTCAGCAGTGCCTGCAGCACCAATATATTCACAAATACCAGCAGTGTTTGGAGCAGCAATCGGTGTAGCACAGCTAGTAGCGGAAACCGCAGCAGCAGCAGGAGCAGGAGCAGCAGCAGGAGCAGGAGCAGCAGCAGGAGCAGGAGCAGGAGCAGGAGCAGCAACAATCATGTGATCTGCTTCTCCTTGCCCACCATCTCCTCTCCCTCCTTCCCCCTCCCTTGCACCATCCACAACGCCACACAAACAACCACCCTTAATTTCACACCGATCCTCGGGACTTTGACCCCCTCTCCCTCTCTTTCTCTCTCCCCCTCTGTCTCCCACCCCCTTTCTCCCCACCTCCTCACCCCTCGGCCCACGCTCACAAATCACCCCTTTCCTCTTCTCACACCGCCTGAGCCCAAAGCTCCTCGCCCCACCACCCTCGTCGCTGCGAGCTTCCCCACACGAGCCTCCCTGCCGCCCCACGGGGCGCGCCACCCTGCCTGTGCGCCTTAGCTCCCAGAAGCGTGCCGCCGTGCGCCGTCCACTGGGGCGCACCGCGAAGCACTGCAGGCAGGGGTCTGGAAGACCCACCTCTGGGCTGCCCCCTCGTGTTGGGGCGATGCAGGGGATGTGGCCTTGCTCTTCGACCTTCATCACTCCTTCGCCCTCACTGCGATTTTTGCTGTTCGCATGGCCGTGATGCTGCAGCTTGGTGCACAGAGCGCCTGTTTGCAGGGTGGCAGGCTTTCTTCGCGTCCTCGTCTCTTTGCTTGCTTCCTCTGCATGTGTGTCGGCCCGCCAGTCAGCAATGCCTTCCCTCTTCACCTCCGCTGTCCGCATTGCACCCCCATCGCCAAGAGCAGCAGCAGCAGTGGGAGCAGCACAGGAGCCACTGGAAGCGGTGGGAACAGCAAGCTCGTTCTCGCTGCCCTCTAAGTCGTGGCAGCCAGCAGCAGCAGCAGCCACCTCACAGCTGCAAGCAGCCTGGCGTTTGCATGCCTTCGCAGCCCTGCTGCCCCTGGCACCACCGTGGATGGCATTCACAGCCTCCCCTCCAACTGCCGCGCCACTGCTCCCCACTAGGGCCATCATGTTGCCAGCCGCTGCTGCGTGCCGTGCATGGTCAACGGGTGCTTGCTGGTCGGGGATTGATTGTGATGGTGAAGGTAGTGGTGGTGCCGGCGATGGTGGTGGGGCTCTTGAGTTACGAGTCTTAGTGTTTCCCGTTAAATGAATCTCTGCCTCCCCCATCCCCATTCCTCGTTTTACTTTACCATCCTCCTCGTCCCCTCTCACCAATCTTTCCCCCACGATACCCACGTCTTCCTCCTTTGTCTCACCTTCGTTTTCACTCCTTGATTCCCTTACTCTCTCAATCCCGACAGGGCTCGTCTTACAGCACTGCTCGCCTTTCCCCTGCTGCACTTCCTGACCCCCTTCGTGCCCATCATGGCAGCGATACAGGCCCTTTCCACCTGTGCCTGCCTCCTCCACGTGATCTTCTTTGGGAGTAGCGCGGGGTCCCTCCTCGCCACATGGCACCTCCGCCCAGCCACCATCCACCCTCTCATCCTCCCCGTCCCCCTCCCTATCCTCACCGCCCCCACTCCCCTGCCCCGCGCTACCCGCACTGCATTGTCTCTCCAGCCCTTCGCCGGAATCACCGAACACCCCAAAGGCCGACCGGAACTGCGCATCCAGCTCTGCCCTGCGCTGCACTCCGCCCTCCTCCTCCCCACCCACTGCGCCCACCCATGCACTTGCACCCTTGCCATCCCGACCCCCTGCTCTCGCTCGCCCGCGCCCCCTGGCTCTAATGCGCAGCGCCACGTGGCTACTGGCGCCGAGGTTGACGATGGGGCGCACCGTGCGCGCCTTGGGCACGAACCGCACGCGCGCTATGCCCAGCGCCCGCCCCTCAACCGGGGGGCGCGAGGGGAGGAGCAGGCGCCTGGCAGCAGCGGGTGTGAGGCGGTGGAAGGTGTTTGAGGCGAGCTGCTGCAGCGCCAGGTACCTGCACACAGGGGAGGCGGGTGGGGACAGGGGCCGCTGAGGTTCGTGGCAGGCGCAAGCTCACAGCAGCATGGCAAGGCGAGGAAGCTCATCCTCCACACATGATTCGGCCTTCGCCACGGCAATGCGTGACAGCAATGAGTGCACCCTTGCTCCAAGATCATACGCAGGCAGCGTGCTACAAGCCATCACAGCCACGGTGCTGGACACAACAAGAAAAGAAACTGCCCGCGCGAGCAAGCGAGCAAGCCCATGCAGCGCTCACCTAATGCGCGCCCACACGGGCTTTCTGTAGAAGCACACGGCGTGGCGCTGCGCCTCACCCTCCGTGACGTAGAAGTGGCAGCGCAGTACTGGCACCACCAGCGCCGCCAGCACCCACTGCACCCACACGCAGCTCAGCACCTCACTTGCCCGCGCTGCATGCCGCGCACCCATTGCAGCACCACCACCATGCTCTTGCTCCTCCTCACCCACTGCTTGCACCTGCTTCCGTCGTCCCTGCTGCCCTGCCTTCTCGGGCCGCTCATCCTGCTGCTCCTCTTCGCCTTCGCCTTCCTCCCTCTCCCCCTCGCTCAACGCAGTGCGCCCGTCCCCGCGACGCACCCCAAGTCCCTCGTGATGCCCATCAACGCCATCTCCTCTCTCTCCCTCGCTCATCCCACTCTCTCTGGTTTTCGTTCCTCCCCTGTCGGCCTCTCTCCCATCATCCCCTGTTCCCAGGCCATTGGCCCTCACCGCTGCAGTGCTGCGGGCCCAGGGAAGGCAGCGAGTGGGCAGGCGGTGCATGGCAGCGCGCAGAGGAAACTGGTCAAATCGCCGCAGCCCAACAAAGCGGCCCATCAGCTGCCTCATCTGCCGCATCCCTGACCCCCTCCTTCCCTTCTGCTTCTCGCCTACAGCCTTGAGAGTAGGCTGGCCAACCGCCCCTCGCCGTCCGGTCCCCCTTGCTGTACCTGGCGCCGCAACAGACTGCTCTCCTCCTCCGCCTCCCAGTTCTCCTCCACCCCCTGCCGCTGCCGCTTGTCCTTTCGTGCCCTTCAACGCTACCGTTCTCTCCTCTCTCCCGCCCAGCAGCAGCTGACGTGGCACAATGCTCCTCAACACAGCCCAGACAAAGTTTGACACCTGGCGGTGACTGCTCGTGGCGGGCACCAGTAACTCCAGTGGCAGGTGTCGCAGCCTGCCCTCACATTTGACGCCTCGCACGCCACCTTCTCTTCTCATGCCGCCTGAACCCAAAGGTCCAACGGGTGCATTCTCTGGAGAGGGTGAGGACAGAGTAGCATGATAGGCCTGAGCAACCACACCTGCCGTGGCAGCAGCTTCGCCCACCAGTGCAGCACCCGCCATACCCGCTACAGCATCAGCTTTAGGGGGCACTCCAGTGGTAGCATCAGCTGTGGCATCTGCAGAAGCAGCAGGCATGGTGGTTAACCTGCAATCAAAGTCCATTGCTGCTGCCAGCACAGCATGCGCACCTGCATTGCCATCACTCGTGCTCACAGCAGCACCATTGGATGGTGCTCTAAGGGCAACGCCAGATGCAGTTACCGCTTCAGCAGCAGCAGCTGCGACCGGCACAGCACCACAACCCGTTTGTGGTTCTACCATAGCACTGGCTGAACTGCCGGCAGCACCGGAAGCTGCCTCAGCAGCAGCAGCATGTGCAGCAGGGCAGTCATCTGCTTCCACACCAAAAGCCGCAGCAGGCGCAGCAGCAGTGGGGAGCGGGCAGTGCTTGGAGAGCAGTTGAGTGAAATTACATGCGCGGGCGCGGCACAGCATGTGGTGCAGGAGGGTGAGGAGAGCGGGAGAAGGAGGTGCGTGGAGCAGCTCAGTGTGGCCGTGCGCCGCTGCCTGCTGCAGCGCCTGCCGGAACACATGCTCGTACAGCTGGCAGGCGCCCGCCCTGGTGGTAGGGAGAGAGTTGAGAATGTCTGTGCGGCACAGGGGAGGAGGTGGGTGCGGGGAGAAAGAGTGAGAAGAGATGAGACAAGGCTCACATGCCCGAGAGAGGTGGTGGATTGCGATGGTTGGTGGCGCGGCGGAGCATTCAGTCATGGTTACACCTGGTGGGTCCTCATCATCGAAGCACGCATACACCACTCACACATGGATTCGCGCACACAACGTGCACAAGCTCCCCGTCAGCCACGCAAGCAGGTGAATCCTCGTCTAACTTAAACCACTATCACGTAAACTTCAACCCTTGAGTGTGGCATAAACCCCTGAACCCTTTTTCCCTGAGCGTGCCTCCCCCGCATGTGCGTACGCTTCTTTGGCAGGCCTGGGTGCAGAGCAAAGCTGGCGCAGTAGAAGAGTGACGACCGCGGCACCAGCTGTGCATGCAATGCCGCCAGAAAGGACTTGGTCTGGGGCGCGGCGAGCAACGGTGGTGATTCAGAGGGAGATGCGTGGTGCCTCGCAAGATGGGGTTGCTGACGGTGAGACGGCAGTGCGCAACCCGTCATATGCACATCCGCACCCCCCTCGTGCCCGTGAGCGTCCTTCGAGCCACCATTGCCTCGTAGCTTGGCCCCATCCCCCTCGCCTACCGCATCGCCCTCGCCATGCTGTTCACCTGCAAGCACCCACTCCATTTGGCCACATCGTGCCACGGGAATGAACGAACACAGCAATGGTTTCACCACGGCACCGCAAGTCAAACACACAGACAAGGGGAGAACCGAGAACAATCACACCCTCCGCGAAGCCCTTTGTGAGCGCCACCTCACCTTACCTGCCTTCTGATTCTCCTCCTGCATCACGCCACTATCGCACTCCCCCTCTCTCCTTCGCTTTCTCCACCTCCTCCCCTTCCCAATCTGCTGCTCACTCCATCCTTCCTTCTCCCCCTCGCCCCTCAGCCCTTTTCTCCTGCCACGAGCAACTCCTCTCTGTGAGTCCATGCACCCTGTACCATCCGCCTCCTCGATTCCTTCCCCCTCTCCTTGCTCCCCTCCTCCGCCACCACCACATCCAACATCCCTTCTCCCACCCGCGCTCATCTGCAACCTCCGACCCCCCCTCTTCCCCCTCTTCCCCCTCTTCCTCTTCTTCTCTGCGCCCATCTTCACCCCAACTGCTGTACTGTCTGCTCCCCGCCCCTCTGCGTCTCCACCCGCCTCTCCTCCCTGCACCTCTCTCTCGCCTCCCCCTGCACCAGCCACCTCCTTTGCCCGCCTGGCCTCATGGCCCGTGCCTCCCCCGCCACCAGCCTCAGCGCCTCCGCTTGCTCTGCCTGAACTACCGCTTGCCGCCCGGCAGCCCACCGCCATCTCTCCGTCCTCTGCATGCCCTCCCGCCTCCCCTCCCCTGATTCTCACTACCTCCCCCTCTGACTCCATAGCCGCTCCCCCTCGCCCTGCACCACCCACATTGACGCCCGCGCCACTCTCTTTCCTCCTCCCACACCGCTTCCCACTCCGCCCCCCGAGCACCTCACCCACCGGAGCCACGCCTACACGGGCCTCCACAGCGCCCCCTGGCGTGCCAGTGCATGGTGACAGCTGTCCATGTGCAGTGGCACGGGCAAAAGAGCAGCACAGGCGGCGGCATGATGAAGGGGGCTCCGTGCGAACAACGGAAGGGCAGCGGGACAGCAGTGCACGGCTGGAGACAGGAGGACCTGCCACTTGGACAAACGAGGAGGCTCCAAGTGGCACAAAGACAGACGCATGGGACAGCAGGTGGACCATTGCTGGCACCCCCACCTGCACAGGCCGTTTGCAGGTAGCCATGGCGAGGAGAGGGGCACGACGAAGAGGGAGAGGGACGAAAAGGGGGGTGGGGGGATGAGTGGTGGGGGGATGAGTGGTGGGTCACATGATTGGGGGAAGCCCATACAGGTGAGAAAGTGCATGCATGGAGAGGAGGCAAGCACATGGCACGGCAGGAGGCGGGCAGCGGTGGTGAGCACCTTGAGGAGCAGGCGCTGCCAGGGGGGGGACGTCACCACGGCCCATGCCGTGCTGAGAGGAAGTGCGGAAGATGGGGGCGGCGGCACAGGCAGAGACGCCAACAGAGCAGGTGCAGGTGGCACAGGGGCGAGCGGGGTGGGGCTGGGTGGATTGAAGGAGAAGGCGGCGGGGTGCATGACAATGTGGTTGCGCTGCAGGCCGGGCAGGCATGGCGGCGCCGTGGCCCACTGCAGCTCGCTGTGAGGCGAGGCAAAGGGCAGCGCCTGGCACACACAGGGGATGCGCAGGAGCGGAGGGGGGAAGGGAAGGCGGGGGCAGAAGGGAGCAGAGGGGAGGGCGTTGGGGGGACACAATCAGACTGACGCACAGCACAACAGGAAGGCCACTCACGAGAGGGGAAGGCAGGTAGGGCAGAATACGAGGAATAAGGCGGCCGGAAACACAGATACACAGCAGGAAGTCAAGCACCCATCCTCTCTCAACCATGAAAAAGGCCTTTCCTCACCCGTCGGAATCCCGCTGCCAGTACGTTTCCAGTGGGCGCTTGTGGCGTTGTGTGCCTGGCATCATGATGCTCCTGCCGCTCATGGCGCCGCTGCTCCTGTGCACCGCGCCCATGCAGGCTGGCCGCGCTGCCTCGGCCCACTGAGCGCCCCCTGCCGGCCCATCCACGGCCATGCGCGCCCTCACCAAGGGCAGCAGAGCGCCTGAAGTGCAGCAGCACTACACGTGTCACTACCTGGTTGGCCAAGTATCAAGAGACAAACGAGTGGCAGGGGTTTTTACAAGTGGAAATGCGGAAGTGGTTGGTGTGATTGGCAGTTACTTTTAGGTGGTTGTTTTTGTTCTCGGACCACATTCATGTGTCCGTTCATGCGCCAGAAAGCAGAAAGCCACCACTGCCACGCTCTGTCCTGCCATGCCAGCCCATTCCCAAGCATGTCAGTCCAAGCTATGCCATGGCATGCCATACCACACACCTCCTCTTGCGTCCACCTCATGTGACTTGGTCCCCCCTTCTCACCGCCTTCCCCTCTCCCCCCTGCCTCCGCGTGCAGCCCTGCCCCGCCCTCCCCCTGCTGCTGTGTGTGGAACGCGCTGTACTGCTCCTCGGGCATCCACGCCAGGGCCTCTCGCAACACCCACGCATCCACCTCCGCCCCTCCTGCCTCCCCTCCCACTCCCCCCCTCACCATGTCCGCCCCTCCATCATCTTCCGGCACCTCGTCAACTGCATCATCCATTTCGCCCCCCTCCTCTGCTATTCCCACTCCTCCTCTCCCTCCCTCCTGCCCTCCCTTCTCTCCGGACCCTGCAAGCCTGCCCTGCGGTTCCTCCCCACATCCGCCACTCCCGTCCCCCACATCCCCTGCTCCGACTCTCACCTCGCCCCCTCCCCCTGCGTGCACTCGTTTGAGCGTGTGTGTGGCTGGCTGTGCGTGGGCTGCCCGTGCGAGCAGGCGGTGCATGAGCACATGGCCAAGGGGCGCTATGCCGGGGTACAGACGCTGCAGCACTCTCACTGCCAGCGCCGGGGGTGCTGCCACGCATGACGCTGATGCTGCTGCTGCTGCTCGTGCTTCTCCCCCTGTCTCTGCCTCTGCCACTTCTTTCGCCTCGCTGTGTGAGTCCGTGGCCGCCCCCTCGTGGCGCCCGTCCCCTCCGCGCTGTGTGGCACGCCCGTCCACCTGCAACGTACACCTTCCCATCGCCCCACTGCCCCTCCCGTCACCCCGCTCGCGCCAGCAGCTTATACTGCAGCGGTGATGGCTCTAGCGCCATGTCCTTGCACCATCTCCGCCGCGCGCGCCATCCCCAGCAGCAGCGCCGCTACCACCACGTCACCGCTGCACGGGGAGCCCTGAGTGCGCCCGCTAAGCCCGCCGCGTGCTCTCCATCGCCGCCACGTGCTCTCCATCGCCGCCGCGCATTGCGCCGCACTGGTCACTGGCCCACTGCGGCACACTCGCTGGGCTCAACCCGTCGCTGCCTCGCTGGCAACTGGTGCGCCTGCCTCACATAGCACGTGTGTGAGGTGGTTCGTGTCGCCAGGAGCTACGGCGTTTTCGCGATAAGCGACTTTCGGCGCTTTGCAGGTTGGGAAGCTGTTTTGTTGTGAAGTGAAACATATACTCACTGCTATGAATTGATCAGATTAATAACAGGTAGTGTAATAAAGGAGTCGTGTTTCAAGAGTGTCGATACAAATGAGTGCCTAGGCATCTATAGGCACGAACAGAGCTAGCCGAGAACCACGCGAACAGGTTGGGGCGGTCGGGTTGGCGAAAGCCACAAAAGCGCCGCGCGTCTAGGTTTGGGTTCACGAAATGGTTCGGGACCGAAGAAGTTGGCCGAGCCTGGACTTCCGAGAGTCGAGTGCGTACGCGCTGTAGTCAAGCCCGGTAAGGAAAATGGAATTTCCTTATACCACCCCCCCTTCCGGGATGAGGCTACCCACCTCCGGGACACGTTGTCGGTGTAAATAGTGTCAAACATAACTTATGTTGATACTGTAGCCTATACAGGTTTGTGCCTTAGAGGGTACATCACACTAGTCTATATTGCCCTGTATCTTCCTATTCTAATCATTCTCTCTTTCTAACATGGTATCATGAGTAGGTTAGGTTCCTCTCGCCCGCCCGCGCTTCCGCCCTAGGCCCTAGCCGCCCTCGTGCCCCGCTCCTAGTTGGCCCGCCCTGGCCGTTCGCGCCCGCTCCTAGCCGGCCCCCTGGCCGTTGCGCCCGCCCCTAGCTGGCCCCCTGGCCGTTCGCGCCCGCCCCTAGCTGGCCCCCTGGCCGTTCGCGCCCGCCCCTAGCCGGCCCCCTGGCCGTTCGCGCCCGCCCCTAGCTGGCCACCTGGCCGTCGCGCCCGCTCCTAGTCGGCCCCCTGGCCGTCGCGCCCACTCCTAGTCAGCCCCCCTGGCCGTTCGCGCCCGCCCCTAGCTGGCCCCCCCCTGGCCGTTCGCGCCCGCCCCTAGCCGGCCCCCTGGCCGTCGCGCCCGCTCCTAGCCGGCCCCCTAGCCGTCGCACCCGCTCCTAGCCAGCCCCCTGGCCGTTCGTGCCCGCCCCTAGCTGGCCCCCTAGCCGTTCGCGCCCGCCCCTAGCTGGCCCCCTGGCCATTCGCGCCCGCCCCTAGCCGGCCCCCTGGCCGTCGCGCCTTCTCCTAGCTGGCCTCCTGGCCGCTCACGCCCGCTCCTAGCTAGCCCCCTGGCCGTCGCGCCCGCTCCTAGCCAGCCCCCTGGCCGTCGCGCCCCTCCTAGCCGGCGCCCTGGCCGTTCGCGCCCCTGTCGCACCCGCTCCTCACCAGTCCCTCGCGCCCGTCCCTCGTCAGCCCCGGCCCCTCTCCTAGCCGGCCCCGGGTTCGCTACGCCGCCGGCCCGTCTCTACACTGCCCTGCACCGCCCGGAGCCGCTCTCCACCACTTTGCACCGCACTCCACCGCCCAGCACCGCACTGCACCGCCCTGCACCGCACTGCACCACACAGCATCGCATTTCCCTGCACTGCACTGCCCTTCCCTGCTCTACATCGTTCCTGATGGCGGAGGTGCTTCGCTTCGACGCTGAGGGTCAGCCGCTTGAGTTTGACGCGTGGTTGGTCGACCTCCGCCGCCATCTCACTGGTCAGCGGCAGGATGGCCACTCGCTGTCTGTCCACCTTGACAGTACGCTCCCCTGCCCCGACCCCCCTGCTGCGCTGCCCGCTGACCCCTCGTCTGCTGAGCGTGAATCCGCTGCCGCAGTTGCCCTTGCTCGCTCTGTCTGGCTGTCGCGTGACGCTTTTGCGCAGCTTGCTATCAGCCATGCCCTCCCACTATGTGAGCGCCCTCGCTTTAAGTCCGTCACGACTGCGCAGGCGTTCCTAGATGCTATTGTCCAGCGCTATTCCACCCAGCCTGCTGCCTCCGTAGGTCGCCTGATCCTGCCGATGCTTTTCCCTGACCTTGCGTCTTTCCCCACTGTCGCTGACCTTGCCGCCCACCTGCGCACGATAGACGCGACCTGGCGTTCTGCCTGCACTGAGACCCAGCTTAGAGCCCAGTTCGGGTGGCAGTTCGGGTGACAGGCGCTGCCAGTACCAGCTCCTGACCGGTTCTCGCCGCGGCTCTGTTTGCGGTAAGACCGGTCACTCTCCTGTTCGCTACTTCCGTCGCCTTGACGACCTGTTTCGTCTTCGCTTCGGCCCGTCGCCCGACCTCCCCGACTGGTTCAGCTTGCTTCGTTTTAGTATTCCGATTTTTTATATAGACATGGATGAGCTTAGCTCTGCCCTGTATGTGCTGTATGCTGATGACTCTAGTGTGACTAGTTCTTACTACCCCGTGTTGCCTAGTGTAGGTGTGCCTAGTCTTGCCCCCCCTGCTGCGTCAGGCGTGGGACCTCCTGCCTTGTTTAGACTAGGTTCCTCGGTCGCTACTTCGACCCCGGCCGCCACTGCTGCGCTCACCTTCACCCTGGACTCTGGCACTTCCCGGTGTTTCTTCCGCGACTCCACTACGCTGTCCCCGCTTGCTGCTCCTGCTGCGGTTTCCCTTGCTGACCCCTCCTCCGGCCCGGTCGTCGCTCGTAATTCTACCACCCTTCCCTGTCCGGCGGCTCCTTCAGGCTTGCTTACAGGCTTGGACGTCCCCTTGTTTTCTAGGAACCTAGTTGGTGTTGGCTGCCTCCAAGACCTTGGCGTCACCACTACGTTCCTTGGTCACGAGCAGTTTGCATTCTGTACTGAGGCGGTCACTGGTGCTCCCCTCGCTACGTTCCCCTGGGACCCGGTGTCTGGCCTGTTCACACTGGACACCGTGCCCCCCCCGGTTCGGACGCCTCCCCAGGTAGCTGTGTTGTCTCAGGTTGCAGCGGCCTGCTCGTGTCGGTCGCTCACTCACCCGACCCTCCGGTGGCACCACCGTCTAGGTCACCCTGCACTCCCGCGTCTGCGTGACATGTCACAGCACGGTCTTGTCCTAGGTCTCCCATGGTCGTTCCCCGAGTTGCCCCCCTCCACAGCGTCACCGTGTACGCCCTGCGTCGAGGGTCGGCTCCGCCGTGCCCCTCACGCCTCCTCTTTCCCCCCCACCACCGCACCGCTACAGACCTTGCACATGGACGTCTGGGGCCCCGCCCCCGTCCATGGACCGCGTCGCGAGCGCTACTTCCTCGTGCTTGTCGACGACTACACGCGCTATACCACGGTTTTTCCCTTGGAGCGGAAGGCCGACGTGCCTGACGTTCTTATCCCCTGGCTAGTTGTTGCGCATGTCCACCGCAGTCTCCCTGTCCTGCGTCTTCACTCTGACCGTGGGGGCGAGTTTGCCTCTGGTGTCCTTGGGCGCTTCTGTCGTGCGGAGGGCATCACCAAGACGTTCACCCTGCCGGACTCGCCGCAGCATAATGGGGTCGCTGAGCGATGCATCGGTTTGGTCATGGAGGTGGCTCGTACCTCCATGATCCACGCCGGTGCACCCCATTTTCTGTGGCCGTTCGCCGTTCGCTACGCCGCTCACCAGCTTAACCTGTGGCCGCACCCTCAGCGGCCGCAGGTTTTGCCGACCCTTCTTTGGACCGGGTCTCCTGGTGACGCGTCTGCGTTCCACGTCTGGGGCTGCCTTGCTCACGTTCGTGCCTCTGGCACGGACAAGCTTACTGCCCGCACCGTCCCCTGTGTCTTCCTTGGTTTCCCCCTTGACTCATCCGACTGGCACTTCTACCACCTGCTGTCCCACCGTTTCTTTCACTCTCGTGACGTTACCTTTGACGAGTCCGTCTCCTTCTACCACCGCTTTCCACACTGTGGTCCTCCGGTCACCCCCCCCTTGTTCCTGGTTCCCCCATCCCTGGTAGCCCCAGCCCCGCCCCCCTCGCGTCCTACCTCGTCCGGTGTGTCTCACGTCACTCCCCTCCCGTCGGTTGTCCCGGTTGAGGAGTCTGCTGCCTCTGGTGGTCTTGCGGCCCATTCCTTGCCGCCAGCCCTCCCCCCCCCCCCCCCCGGTGTCTCCTCTTCCGCCGCCGCAGCAGCAGTCGTCGCCGCTGCTGCAGCAGTCGTCGCCGCCGCAGCCGGCGTCATTGCAGCCGCGGCCATTCATCGCCTCTGGTGGTGCTGGAGTTGGGAGTGGTACCGGTGCTGGAGGGGTTTCTGGCTCTGGGGGTGTTCCTTCTAGGGGTGCAGGAGTGGAGTGTTCTGGCGGTCACCGTAGAGCCGCCTTCGACCCTGGCGTCGGTGTTGTACCGCAGCAGCCGCCCTCCCCGCCGGTGTCAGCCCTTCGCCTGCTCGGCCTTCCGTCCCCTGACCCTACGTCTGTTCCCCTCCTGCAAACCCCTCCCCTTCCGGTCTACGGCCTTGTGTTCCCTCCCTCGGACTCGTCCCCGGCTCATCTCCCCCCTCGTTCCCCTCTTGTGTCCCCTCCTCTGTCTCCTGACCCGACGCCTCCATCACACGTCTGGTCGTGCCGTCCCTCCCGTGCTCGCCCTGTCTCCCATGTCTCACGCTCCCACCGTATGTTGCTTCGTTCCCACGTGCCTTGTCCTCCCCTCCTCCCGTCGCCTCCTCCGACCTCCCTTGTCGTTGCGCCTCCACCTCTGTCTGACTACCTTCGTGCCGCTTGTCCTCTTGTTCCTTGGGTCCTCGTGTCTCTCGTTACCGACCCGTCCGTTCCGGTCTCGCGTCTTGACGCTCTTGTCGCTGTGGTCGCTGACTTCGCCTCTACCCGCCGCCTTGACTACGCCATCGCTCTGGTCACTGACCCTGCCTGTCCTCCGTCTGTCGGGGGTGCTCCTTCCCTCGGCAGTGACGTCCTGGAGGACCGTCAGTTCGAGCTTGCTTTCTTGTCCGAGGCTGCTCCCCATCTCTGTTCCATGCTGCTAGTCCCTGAGGGTGACCCAGACGCTTTCGGCATCCTGACCCCTCGCACTTACGCTGAGGCTGTTTCGGGACCTTGGGCCTCTCAGTGGATAGCTGCCATGGAGCAGGAGATGGCATCTTGGAGATCCACTGGTACCTTCGTCGATGCAGTTCCCCCACCTGGGGTGAACGTAGTCGACGGCCG